GATTTCCAGGTTTTCCTCTCTCCTTCACTGCAGGGCACTATCGATACCCAGAGAAACATTTATTTTGGCACAGATAAAGAACAAGTTTTGATCATCTCCTCAATGCCCAATTTTCCTCCAGTTGAGGGAATGAAAGAAAAAAAAAATCTACCCTTCTCTGGACCTTGGATGAACAGGGCTATGGATTTATAAAATACCTAGCTACACTCAGTCAATAAAACTCATTTTGAAAATGATGCCCACGTATACGATTAACTGTCAGATGATAATCAGAGCAGGCATGGCATTCAAACACCCATTTCTAGAGTCTTTGTTTTCACTCTTCCTTTCAAAACTCACCTCTGAATTTTTTTTTCTTTTTTTCAAATATGCACAAACACAAAACCTTCACAAAATGAGGATTTTTGCCAAACATTTTAAAGAGCAAGGCTATGATGGGTGAAAGCAAAAGCCACACAGCAGTAATTCAAGAGCTTCATATTCACCCCAGTCCAGAGGAAGGCTTTCCTCCCTTGTGCAAAGCAATCTGAATTCCATACTGAGGGTCACAGCTTTTCTTTGAATTCCCAGCTTATGTCGCTATGTGTTGCCACCTTGATGCTATTTAGACAGTTTTCTCTTAACGCTCAGACAGTGAACTGTTCCCGTTTAAACAGGTTTTTATTTGACAAGAGTACATTCCCTCAGATCTGAAGCTCTACTAACCGTGCTACAATTGTATCACGCTCTGCTATAATCAACCATGTTGTAAATTTGGGCAACACCACCTGTACAGACATTCGCAAGAAAAAAATGCACAGAAAGATTTTAGGGTCATACAGCTCAGAACATTAAAAAGCAAAACTGTTCTCTGCATAACATCTAAGGGAAGAGAGCTTTGAGCTCTTCCAGCTCGGGAGCATAATTATTTTCTGTTTTAAACATTTAACTGTGTGCTGCTGCGGTACCCTTGCTGAGTCTCAGAATGAAAGCTAGAAAACTAAGAGCCCTACTGTATGTTCTTCATTCCCAGCAACATTCCTATGAGAAAACCTTATTAATGAGCTTGCAAACGAGCACCCAACAGGGAAATGTCACAAACAAGAGCGGCTAATGCCCCAGAAAATCAAATAACTGAACACTTGGCTGATTGTGGTGCCTTTCATATTTATAATAAAAAAGGGGGGGACTTTAATTCACTGATTCTGAAGGGGTCAACACCTTGCTGAACAAAACAACTCATTTATTTATGTTCAGAAATCTCCAGATGATAAATTACATTGATGTTAATCACTTCAATGCATACTACACAATTAATATCTGTACTCACCGAAAACTTAAGGATTATTAAAAGTATGACAGCATACACATCTGGCTGATTTTTCACATAATTGGGCACAACAGTTTCTCCTGGTATCACAAATAAGGGTCCTAACAAACAAACACTGCAAAATCCTGGTTCAATTAATTAGGACTTAAATCCACAAGACAAAAGCAATTCCAAGTTGTAGCTCCAGCCTTGTCTTCTACGCACTATGGTAGCACTCCATTTGAAGGAGAGAAGTGCAACACTTCCCCTCTTTTTATCCCTCCTCTCTTTTTCCCTGTCATATTTAAAGTAAGATATTTAATGACATATAATGCAGGTTTTCATTATTTCATTTCCTTTTTAGCAGTATTTTTAAAAAATTACTTCATGTAGAATTCAAATCCATGATCTGTCATTTAACCCTATTCGTGTCCTGGTAAACATCCATTCCTCTTAGGTGGGGATAAAGAGAGGTTTCCATAAACCTTCATGGAGCAAAATCAGCCAGGCTTAAACAAGTGAGCATATTTAATACCAACGATATCAGATCAGATTTGCCCCCAAGGTAGCCTTATTTACTCGGAGTAGACTCTGAGGTCCATGAATGGGATCAATATTTCCTAGTGATAACCTATTGTTTGTCACTGAGAACATAAGAAATCTTTTTAGGTGGCAAAGGAAAGGACATTGAAAAAAATTAGTTGTACATTTATTTTAAAGCTTATTAGACACTATACATAACAAATGAAATGTATAATTTAATACATATTTTTACATAGGCCCTGGTTAGGTTAAAGCAATAAAGTGACTTAAAGAAAAATTCTAAATCAGGTAAAAATACAGATGACACATGAACATGGCAAATTTGTGCAAGTGGTCCTCAAATAACTGAATTTAGGAAAACCCTGAGGGGTGAATGGACTCCTTACATTGTAAGTAGAATATGGTGACTATGTGATTGTATTCATCTTTTCCAGGTCGATAGCTATCAAAGGGTTTTTAAAGGGGCCAATGATCCCCAAAAGGTTAAGAACTGCTGACTTCAAGGGCATGAGTCAACATTAAAATACAGGTGCAATGTTACTCCTCACAGGCATCCAAAATAATTCAACCTCCGTGCAGACTGGCTACTGAATAAATCATTCTAGGAATCTCACGTATTCAAGTGTCTCTTCTTTCCTCATGGGCATCAAAATGTGGTGCTACCTGTCTGCAGAGAAAGGACGGCTGTGGGGGGCACTGGAGTTGAGCCATCAACAGCACTGGACAATGACTGATCAGCCTTCAGGGCCTAGTGACTGAGTGCTTCAGGCATTTGAGGAATGAAGCTTTTTGTTACTGCATAGCCGCTAGTGTTCAAGGAGAGTAAAGCTGGTAGGAAATGATGTAGAGAATTCCAATTGTGTTTAAAGAAGCTACAAAAGGAATTCCTGGCTGACTCTGTAAAGTTCTCAATAGTGCTCTAGGAGTAGAGCGTAGTGAACTTTCTTGAGCACAGAGAACCTTACTTAAGATTATCAAATCAGATGCAAAGTTCCATTCAGGTTAATATAATGCTTTGTAATTCTTAGCTTTCCTTTATATAAAAATATTTTTTCCTTATGTATATTCCAAAAAGTGGAATAAAGGCTAAAATATTTGTATGATTTTCTTGGATTAAAAAAACAGAGTCTCCCACAAAAAGGTGCCATATTAGAATTTAAAATGATCAGCTGGTGCATCCTTATTTTTGGACAGCATTAGAGTCACTTTCCTGCAATTAAAGGCTATCAGTACTTTGTTAGATTGAAGCCAAATGGATTCAGATGTGGAGCCTTATTCCTTTTCTTAGAAGGACAAACCTCCAGAATCTACACATTATGGAAACCAAGGCTTATAAGGATCATTATCAAGTTTTCCAAGGAGTAAGAGATGTAACGCTTGAAATATTTTGCATTTGGGAGTGAGGGTAATTTGGTAGGTGGGTGGGACTATATTCTATTTAAAAGATATTCTGGGAAAATACTGAAAGAGTTTAGGGGTGGAAACTGGGTGAATATCTACTCAGGACATACAAAGGAGCTAATGTATTATTAAAGCTAATGGGCCCCTACAAGGAGAGTTAATGGATATTAACTTTGCTTAAATGAATTACATATTAACAAAATCACAAGAGATCTACTATCTGCTAATTTAGATAGTATCTGATCATTTCTGTTTTCCCATTAGAGGGACATTATACCACAATAGTTTTGGTGATATGAAAATTATAAGCATGATGCCCATAATGAAGCTTTATAATGAAGCAGATGAAATGAATTAATGAGGAAATCCTGCATTGTGTAATGTTCAATTGAGCCAAGTTCACGGAATTAAGAAAAGGTTGGAATGGGATGGCTTCTTAGAAGCAACATTTTATAACTTTTCCTGCCTTCCCATTTTGCTCAGATCATTTAGATAAATAATAGGGCTTGCATGGAGTTGAATGGTGGCCCCCAAAGATAAGTCCACATTCTAACCCTTGGAATCTGTGATTATAGCTGAATTTGGAAAAAAAGGTCTTTACAGATGAAATCAGCTTAAGGATCTCAAGATGAGGCCATTCTGGATTATCTGGGTGAGTCCTACATCCAACGACAAGTGTCCTCATAAAAACATACAGAGGAGAGACCCACAGAGGAGAGGAGAAGGTCATGTGAAAATGAAGGCAGAGAATGGAGTGGTGAAGCCACAAGTTAAGGAGCTCCTGGGGCTCCCAGAGCTAGAAAAGTCAATGAATGATCCATCCCTAGATTCTTTTGAGGGGAGGGGGTGTGGTCCCGCCAAAACCTTGATTTTGGACTTCGGGCCTCCAGAGCTGTAAGGAAAGAAATTTCTGCTATTTTAAGCTACCAAGTTTGTGGCAATTTGTTATGGCAGCCCTAGGAAATTAATCCAATGATTCATAAAGGGTAAAGCTTTTCCTTCATCTGACATCCAATCACTGCCATCCCAACCAAACTCTGGTAACATTTCACTATGCATACTCAAAGATCACCTTGATTTTTCAGAAGCTAAATACAGAGTGAGAAGCTGGCTACTCAGCCACAACCTTGGCATAAGAATGGCTTTGTGCAGAAAAAGACTTTTTCTTCTTCAGTAGAAGGGTCCAGAGGAGAAGATGAGGAGACCATATTCAGTCTACAGGGCATGGTAAGGAGAAAACCTCACTCACTACAATCTAGCTTTTATTGATAAAGCCATCGAGATTGTGGCAATGATCCCGAAGAGTAGACTTTTCAACTCAATTTATATTTCAGCTATAATTTAAGCTAAAATAGAGGAAGACATGCCATTTAAAACAAAATACTGACATAGAATGGGAATAAAATCCCTTCTATAAAAACTTCAGTACTTATGATGGGATTAAAAGAGGGGGAAAATTGCCCTACATTTTGCAGTTGGCATAGAAATGATGACAGTCTATATGCAAATAAATTAATTAAGTCATGTGTTAGAGCAGATTGAAATCATTTCAGTTTTACCTTTGGGTTCAATGTAGCATTTTCAAATCCTCATTGGCACTTTGTAATACGGCAGTACAGTATTTCAATAAAATAATCCTTTATTTGTCTGCCAAAAACAAGAATTCTATGTATATTATATAAAATGAATGCATTGAATAAATGGCTTCTGAAGAGTTTCTATGGAATCGCAACTCTACGCCCTCAGAATAAGATACTGAGGTACTCACACTGTACTTCTAGATACCGCTGGGTCTGCAGGTTTCCAGTGACCGCAGGGTGCTCCACCTGGCAGATCACTGGGACCCCATCGTCCTCCTTGTGCACTTTCAGCATCAGCTGACTGGTCACAGTGTACATGTCTGACCACTCTTCCACCTCCGATTTGCCTGGGGAACAGAAAATGTACCAAGACACCAGAGTTGGGTGAATTTCCATCAGTTTGTTTTTATGTCCTCCCCTCTGTCCTCTAACCCTGACATTGCTATTTTAACAAATATGATGGCAGTTACTTGGGATGAGAGTAATCTGTGAATAGTTACCTGATAAAATGTTTATTTCCTTAATTTCCGACTTTTCAACCTGGCAGCATAGTATTTAAGATATATTTCAAGTCCGAATAGCATACACTATTTTTACTGAAATATATTATGTATGGTTCTTCTATCTTAAAACCTCCTGGAAATAGGCAGCTGAAAGTTGAGCCATTTTGACATCTGGCTGCTCAAGGTATTCAGGAAGATAAAAAGAAAAATGTTTTTCACCCCTACAACCATCTGAACTTGAAATATCGACTAGGCGGTCATGCCATTCAGAAATTCTAGGATATTATCCAAATCCCCTAAGTAATTCAATAAGCAGTAGAGTTACAAACAACCCCCTTTGCCTACTCCCATCATCAACAATTAAGAGAGAAAGTAACTAAATGGATTTACATAATTGAAATTGTAATTGAAATGTTTAAACTCTGAGACTTTTGGAAGACCACAAAAATGCAGTGGCAGTGGGCTAGAGCAAAGTAAGACACAGGGCTTGGGGCCAGATGGGAGACACGTCCAAGAACACCCAGAAAAGGAGGGAGGAGGCTTCCGGATGGAATGAATAGGCCAAGGCAGTCCCTTCCTGAACTCAGCGCTCCCAGGAACATGGCACACCATTAACTTTCTTTTCATGTTTTGTACTTATCGGTACACATTTAATGGCTGAATTCACTTAGACAGAAAAGCAGAGAGGAAATGAGAAACTCCTTCCTTCCAAAACCATACCTAGGAAATAGGAGATTAAAACAGAACAAGCTTCTTGAAATTTAAGCTGTTATATATAGATTTATCTGCTTCCAGATATAGATTTCTATATCCTCTTTCTAAAAGGGCTGATTCTTTTCTTTCTCACGCTCTTTATTTATTTAACAAGTACATATACAGCACTTACTTTGGCCCAAGTATTAGCTAAATACTTTACAACTATTCACTCATTTCATCTTCATAAAAATTCCATGAAGTATGTAATATGATTATTCCTATTTTAGAGGAAACTGAAGCATACCACTAGCATTTCTGTCAAACAATTAGAGGAATTCAGCTCCTAAGACCTTTGTGCAGAGTACTACCTGCAGGGTAACTTTGAAAAGGAAGGAATCTGAATGCAGAAATACATGCAGAATTTAAGATAACTGGCAAAAAATGGTCAAATAGGGTATAGGCTGTCTCCTTTATCTGATGCAACACCTGAGGTGGCAGGCATTTGTGGATCCAGGACCCAAACCCGGGATGGCCCAGTACAGAGGTAAAGATGATCAGAATGGGGCTAAAGGAGCTGCCTTGTACCGTCATCACAAAATCACAGACTGCACAAGAACAGGCTGGTGAACTGGGCAATTGAATCATAAATTTCACAAGAAAGGTGGCCCCTGTAAATTCACAATTAAGATGAAGTTGTTAGTCCACTTGGTGCAACCACTCTTGTAGGAAAGCATATAGTCAATACAGTTGATAGTGCAATAGATGTCAGAATGACTGGAATTTACCATAGGAAAGACTGTTTAACATTTTTTTAAATGAATACCCTAAAAATGTGGGGTTCTGATCCCCTCTAGGTCTCTGCAAAAGACAGGGCAAAAGCAATTAGAGTTGAAGGTACAGACAGAGACAGCCTGAGCTCAGGAGACAGCCCTCATGAAAATTTTTCCTAGCCTAAACAGTTCTAGTTTACAGTTTTAGTTCTTTCTGGGCATCTGAGTAGAGTGACAGCTATCACCATGAACCCTCAAACAACAGAATGAGGACATGGATTAGAACAATAAAATGCTTTTATGCTGTGGCCTCAGATGTATTTAGTAACTGATTATAAACCATATCTAAATGAATACTTTTGTTTCATGGGCATGTTTTGTATTTGTCCTTGATTTTCACAAAGGCATACCCCTGCTAGAATCAACTAACTACTTCAGTGTGGGGCAATCTGCAGCTTACCTTTTAGCTCCGTGTTCCCTTTGAACCACCTGATGGTCGTGGCTGGCTTGCTGGCCATAGCAGTGCAGTTGACTTCAATCTCCTCGCCTTCCACTGCAGTGTCTTTCTGGATATCGATCATCAGATTACGTGGTGGGACTACAAATTAAACACATGTGTTTTTTAAACACAGAATGCATTTTTGCATTGTTGCTATCAAAAAGGAGAAAAATAGCAGACATTCCTGATGAGAATTTAAATCATTACAAGAAGGGAAAAAGAAATACAAAGTAATCATCAAATAAAGTGGGTTATGCAAAATCAGTTAATTTAGAATTTTTATCCTAAATTGATGTTAAAAATAACCAATGTGGCCGGGCATGATGGCTCACACTTATAATCCCAGAACTTTGGGAGGCTGAGGCGGGCAGATAACCTGAGGTCGGGAGTTTGAGAATAGCCTGACCAACATGGAGAAACCCCGTCGCTATTAAAAATACAAAATTAGCCGGGTATGGCGGCACATGCCTGTAATTCCAACTACTTGGGAGGCTGAGGCAGGAGAATCGGTTGAACCCCGAAGGCGGAGGTTACAGTGAGCCGAGATTGTGACGTTGCACTCCAGTCTGGGCAACAAAAGTGAAACTCCGTCTCAATAATAATAATAATAATAATAATAATAATAACAACAACAACCAATGTCTCACTCTTATCACTGAGCACATTATATCAATATAGATATTAGTCAGCAGTCATTCACAAATTAACCAGAAAGTAGATATAAAAGAGGAGTACATACTATTGAAATGATCATCCTTACCAGGAACCCCCTGAAAGCAGTATTTCTCCTTGAACTCAACTCTTGAATTTCAATCTTCAAATGAAAGATTCCAAAGTCAATGGGGCAAAGATAAAAATCTTTGAGTCCTTAAAAGAATCACTCACCATAAAATGCACAGAAAAATTGTGCCTCAAACCAGTTCCATGTAATTAAAATGATTCATAGAGATCCAGAATGTAATCATAACCTCTGATGGATAATGTAGTAATAAAATCCTTTGGATATGAAGATGCAAAAATGCCAATTAGTTTGCAGCAATTTTCCAAATTCTGAATTCCAGTGCTCCAGATTTTGGAAACCAAAGACGAAAGAGACTCTTAAGTGCTTATAAGTAGATTTACATATCAGAATTAAAACCACCCTTCTGTAAGCATATTAAACATATATGTGATAAAATGGTCAAAATAACGGATTGGGGAGTTAAAATACTGACTATCAAATCAAGAGTATGTAGTGTGATAGTGATGGTGATACTGACAATGATGATGATGATGACAAAATATGTTATCTTTTATGAAACTGAGTTGACAGTAAAACTTCATATGCAACCTTACCTCAGGACTGAGCCTGTTGAAATAAAAATCAGTAAGAATACTGAATTCAGTACAGTGAATCTAAGAATATGTGTCCTGACCACCATGAATAAGCAAAGACTGCTCCGAGACTTATGATTAATAAGTTTCTCAACTCAGAAGAGAAATAAGAAATTAAATATGTATAAACATGCCATCCTGATGATCAAGTTGAATAATAAATTTCTGATACCGCTTCAATAAATTATGGGATTAAACCATGTATTTGGGATTTCCAACTGTTCTAGTCCACAATATGAAAATTCTGCCCACAGGAAGACTTTTACACTGAACTGGAGCAGTTGAAAATTCCTGTAGAGAATGACAGAAAAGTAAAAGTAAAATGATTTGTTGCACATACTTCCTTAGCAATATAGTGTTTGGTGCTGTTGGTGGTGGCGGGTGTAATGAGTAGACCCAAAAGATCCCTCTTCTTTGTTTCCTGTGTACAAGGAAAACAACATATTTGCACAAATGGATGTGCTGCTAATATGATACGGCCCAAATGAGTAGTTAAACATGGCAAAGAAATACCCTAGTTTACATTTTAAGAAAAAATAAACAAAAAGATAATTTAACATCTAATTTAGAGTTTCACATCTGCTAGCATTTTATGAAACACAGAAAGGCTGTAACAAAAGAAATGGAATGACTCAACTAGCTGTATCTTTCACGTAGTTTATCCATGCTAGATGATAGTCAGGTAGGTTATAGATTTTCATCACACATACCTAGACGGTAGATGGGGGATACATGGAGAGACTAGATGTTTAGGATTAATAAATATTACTGCATTCTGAGTGTAGTATTATAGGAATATTTTTTACATGCTATTGTTAGATCAAATGTCAGAGGAAAAGCCTAAAGAAAATAAGACCTTAAAGAGTGGTATAAGAAAAAATGAAAACAAAACAACTAAGGTATAACATATATAGGAGTGTCTTCTCAACAAATGGAGGAACGAAAGCTAAAAAAAAATACCTTTCAAGGTCCAGGAGAAAATAAGAGTGATGAAAATAATTTTTCATGTTGAAATATGCAGTGGTTCCTAATGAGAACTGTAATGGAGCAATGTAACTGATGGGATAGGACCTTAGGAAGGTGTCTCTCTTAGTAAATGACAAAGAGGGCAAATGGCTAAAGCCACCAGCAACCCTGGAAATCCCTAGGGAATGGGGCAGATGAGCTCCTGCTTTATCTGTGTGACTTTGGGAGAAACACTTTGATGGTCCCTCTGTGGAAACATGGGCATCTTCTTGATGCGACAGTCCAGCAGTTGTCAAAAGACTCCTCTATGCATCTCTGTTGAGTGTTAGTGGAATTTAGCCTCAAACATACTCAGATAGTTGTTTCCTGTGTTCCTGGATATCTTTCCTTTATTATCTCATTTTCATGCTAAGCCTGGAAACCCCTTGTCTCTGCTTACCCCAAGCTTCTCCTAACCTTCACTACCCGTTCATCTTCAGTGGTATCTCTCGGTGGAGAGTCTTTATTGCCTCCATTTGGTTCATAAAGATGAGGGTGGGTTCCTACCACATTATCAATCATGTCTGCTGGTCCAGAGTAAGGAAATGAAAAGGGGCAGGTACACATAAGGATCGCGGAAAATTCACCAATGTCTCCTCCAGATTTCATTTGGGGGCTGAGAGCCTGACAGGCAGCTAGGTCCGCATCTGGATTATTCGTTGTTTGGCATTATCCAAACAATCGCAACAGATACATTCTATTCTATAACACTTCAGAGTGAGTCCTGAACCAGTGCTAGTTCCTAGGATTACATGCCCAAAGAGCTGACATCATCTTCAACTTTATGGCTAAGGTAAAAATGTGGAAAACTTCAAAAGCATTAGAAAATGTGCCCAGTGTTGCAATGGCTCACGCCTGTAATCCCAGCACTTTGGGAGGCAGAGGTGGGCGGATCACCTGAGGTCAGGAGTTTGAGACCAGCCTGGCCAAAATGGTGAAACCCTGTCTCTACCAAAAATACAAAAATTAGCCAGGTGAGGTGGCAGGCACTTGTAGTTCCAGTTACTTAGGAGGCTGAAGGAGGAGAATCACTTGAACCCAGGAGGTGGAGGTTGCAGTGAGTCGAGATCATGCCACTGCACTCCAGCCTCAGTGACAGAGGTAGACTCCGTCTCAAAAAAAAAAAAAAAAAAAAAAAAAAATTTGCCCAGTGTAGAAAAATAAACGGCTTATTTATTGTTGAGATCACCATCCTGTGAAATCACTGAATGATTTTTTTCCAAGCCCATAAATAGTTTTCTCAAGATTGTGACCAGTATTTCTGATCTTTGCTAAGGTTAGAAGAAGAAATAGGCATTTATACTGGGAGTTGTTTGGTTTATAAAATAAAATCTGATAATGCAAATCATAATAGTTTATTGATATGTTACAAAGTTGACTTTGCTCAGTTTTTTTTTTTTTTTTAAGAGCAGGAAAGCTTTCAAAAATATAAATGAGGTGATTTAAATCTGTTTCTCTGAAAAAAAGGGTTGGACAAGAAAATCTTAAAACTTATTTTGGTCTATTAATTCTACCCTGTTTTTCCTTTAGCTTCATAATGTCTACTCTAATACAAAAGGTTAGTAAAGTATAAAAATCCATTTATAAGAAAAATGAATTAAAACTGCTGCTAACCAGAGAATATACTTATGCATGGTCCACTAAACAAGCACATTTAGTAAAAACTGCCTGCAGCCATTAATGAAAATAACCAAAGATATTTCTAAGGAGGTGCATATAGATGAAAACCTGAATGAAAATCACAGAGGGAAATACTAGAAAACAGTAATGAAATGTCAAGGTTCTTCTCAGCTACCCCAAATCTATAAGAGTGCTAATTATAAACATTACGCCTACAACATTTAACAAAAATCAGCAATATCAAGATGAGTCACATTAATTACAACAAAAGAGGAGTCTTAAAGCTGATCAGTATGTGAAATCTCACTCTAAGACCCTTTAAAATAATTAGGTTCTCCTGTTCCTGGAATCTTAAGAACGAACACTAATCTTAGAAGGATAGGACTGTGATAATATTAGCTACTATTATCAGTAACTATATTAATCTTAAAGAAGTGTATTCTCTGTCTCATTCATCTGCTCTCATGAATAGGAGTATAAAGAGCGTCCTACAGTATGTTTGGAGAAAGAAACAAAATTGTCACAAGTGGAAGGAGTGAATGAATATCCTTAAAGGCACCAAATGCATGCAAAATATCATAGGAGAGTCTTCAGATTTTACATGGATAAGATCATAAGCATAATAGTAACTATAGAATAGCATAGACAACATTAACAAATACCCATCTCCATATCTTATAATTATGCTGAAGTTTTTACTGAATGCATCAAATAACTAATAGACACACGCACTAAAATGAGAATCTTCAACCTATCAAGAAGTTTGACAGCTGTGTAAGTACACGCGGAGTCCTTTTCAGAGAACTGCAGATAGCAACGAAGATGCTAATGTCATTCTTCATTCATTATAATATCTGAAAACTCTAAACCTTACGAGAAAGGTTTGAATATAAGAGTATCAGTGGAAATTGTCAGATTTTGGGAAATGAAAGACTCAAACACTGATGACAACAATTTTACTCTGTCAAGGAATCCTGGAGTAAATTAAATGGAAAGAATATTAAGTGAATGAATAATATCTGCAGAAAGAACATCTACTACTTTTTAGAGTGCTACTTTCGAGTATATTTAAGTTAATGCTTCTATAAAATACAAGTAGGAACCTATTACTTCTAGAATAATCAGACCTCCTAAAGGATTACAGGCATAATGCCTCTCAAAATTCTAGTGCTTGCACACTGGCTCCCAAGCACATGGTGTATTCAGAGCCAAACTGATCCATGCAGTGGTTTTGAGAATAAATGTATCAGGCACCAGAAAATGACAGGCAGTAGTAACTGCTTGCCAATGGCTAGATATGCTCCTGAAAACAGAAGATGTGCGCCTTTTGGGGAAAAAAAAAAAATCTTAAAACAAAAGCATTCGGTATTTAACTGAAAACAACCTAGACTGGAAGACACCAATGTTGTAATTATAAAACAGAATTGTAAGGTTTATTCCAAATTCTAAGCTTCTTGGTTCTTACTGAGTGCTTTGTAACCTGGGCAAGATGTCTAACGTCTGTTATTATCATTTTACTTCTGTGAAAAACAACATATAAATACGTAAAGGTATATGTAGTAAAATACTCTGAAAATTCAAAATGCCATAAATAGATTTTATTTTATGACTGTCACATTTGTGGAGATGCCATAAAGGATGATGAGTCAAAGGGTGGATGAGTGGATGGTCAATTTGAAGTCTGTGTTACTAATGACTTACTCCAACAAGCAAAGAGCGTTTTCAAATACTCTGATACAAGCAGACAGACAGAACACTTCAAATGTGTGCTTGCGAATTTGGTACATCTGCAAAATACCAAAATAGTCATCGCAGCAAAACCTCCCATGCTTACTATTTCTACAGGTCTAATCTGGATTAAGACCACAATAGTGGCAAATACAAATACCTGAAACAAAAACATCTATCATTAAACACAGACCAGATTAGAAATTGCATGGACAGGTTTTAAACACAACTTTCTAAAATCAATACTCCTCTTGTCAAAAACATATATGTGAGCATTAGGGTTATGTTTTAGCTTAATGAATAAAAAAATTTTCCCTTCTACAGCTGTGTTGAAGTAAAGTAATGAGGCAGCAGCTCAATATGTACATCCATAAATACATATATGTGCACACATACCAAGCAAAAATGTCCTTCATATTTATCTTTCCTCTTTAATCTTCATATCATTACACTGAAAAGCTGCAGTCTGCCGCCTCAAATAGACTTTGATTCATCATCTTCCCGAAGGTGTAAATCAGAGATCTTGCCTCATGCTATAGTGTATGTCCTTGAAAATTCAGTTTCAAGACTCCAAATCAGCTGGTGTTATGCAGTAGAGTAAGCTTGTCTAAAGGTGACTAATTCAGACCACCTTCAACATAGAAATATCTGCTGACTATATTAAAATATAAACATGGAAACCTGGCTACTGGGATTTTGCTGAAACTCACAATCTGGTGATCATAAATGAAGACACTCAGCTCACTGGAGGTGCACCTCGCAGCCTGTCAACAGTTATTTGCTTATTATCAGTAAAAGCGCTCTTAACTCTTTTATGTCCAATGACGGCAATTTGTGGCAAAGTATATGTTCATGGGGTATGATTTTTTTACAGTATAATCTAGAGTATAAGCAATAAACAAGGCCATAAGTCTAGCCAATGAAAAGGAGATCAACAATATTAAAATGAGGATGTAACTCAGAAGTAAAAATCATTACGTGGATTTCATAACTGAGTTCTGCCATGGGGTATAGATTTGGTAGCCCATCTCCCCTTCCCCTGCACAGAAGGAAGAAAAAACTCCCGGTAGTTAGAAGCAATAACATTTCATGTGGTGAGTGATTCATTTGAGGGCTCTAAATTCTCTTGATCTTTGCTTCTGAAACTTGAGGGTTGAAACCCAAGAGCAGGTGGAATCTATAAAGACTGCTGATTGCCATTCCTTAGAGCATTTGGTAAAATAGGCTATTTTTAAAATTCAGCAAGATGGGTGGCAATTCTTCCTGAAACAAGTTTGAACAGGAGAATTCACCATTAACCTTTTCCTTGCTGCTGTAAGCTGTCTGGTAGTAAGGGCCATCCCCGTTCCATTTCCCTGAGTAAGCCCCACATGCATTTCTTACCCAGGACTGTGATGGTAGTGTAACTTTCCTGTGGGGGGTCGGTGTAGAGCTGGCAAAAGTATCTTCCTTCATCAGAAATTGAGACGTTTGTCAATGACACTTTGAGTTCACTGCTAGAAAAATTCAGCAACTGAAACCTGCTGTCCTTCAACGCTGTGAAACAAAACACAAGAGTTAGTGATTGTGAGAAGGTGGATGGATGGTCTGTTTTCCTTAATCATGTATTAAATCTTGTTGTATCTGGTACTTCTTGACTATTTCGGGTGTCTGCAGTAACTTCATGTAGACAAATAACCCTGTCCAAAGGAAACTTATGCATATGAGTGCATGTGTGAGTGTACATATACAATCCAAATCCAGCTGATTTGGATTCTTGAATAGAATCACTGCCCATCTTGCTGAATTTTAAAAATAAAAAAATACATATATGCACACACATCCAGATATGCACTCTTCTACCTTGGCACAATTCCAAATGCTGTCAGTTTTCAGCACTTATTCATACACGTTTTCAAGTTTTCTACCAGAGACAGACAAAAAGAAAACAAAAGGAAAAAGCAGGTCATGAGTCCTCTGAAGCAGGGACTGCCAGGCCCCCCTAGCCTTTGGGCACTGGAAGTTCAGGGACTAGGGCCTACAGCCTTTTAAAATGCCTCAAAAAGTATAAGTAAGACTTTCAAAAAACAAGGATTTCAAATTATGAAACAGAACTAAAAAGGCCTTCATATTAATTACAAAAGCAAAAGGAAAACTACTTTAAAAACTTATAATCTAATAGCAAAATAAACCTAATTAACTTGGATTCACCTTAACATATTTGATGTGATTTGAGGTGGAGCTGCCAAAAATGGATGACCTCGAGCCTACGGAGGCCTTAAACTGGTCCTGCGGTTTCCTAAGTACATTTGGCTTCACAGTATGAAACTGATTAGGCATTAAGCAGGAAATCAAAATCACTGCAAAACTGATATATGTGGGCCTCTTATTTATTTCAAATGTTCTCTTTCAAAATCCTTTTTTAATTTTGGCAAAGACTAACTTAGTATATGACGAAAATTCACTTTAAGAAAAGAAGCTGGCTTATTTCCTTTTATCTTCCCTCAACCCTTTAAATGTTCCTTAGGTTTATCAACGTTTTCCATAGGTCATGAATGACCCTGAGGTATTGGGGAGGAAGGGGATAAGCAGCTGGGAAGGGACATGCTTCGCTTTGGTTAGGCACCGACGCTCTCCAATAACAATTTTTTTCAAAAGATTTGATTCTTGCTCTTACTAAGCCCTGACACTCATATGAACCATTTGTATTCTACACAAGTTTGTTGCAATTTTGGTTTTTGTGAATTTACATTTGGAAAGATTTCAGCATATGGACACTTCCATATGCCAAAGGCTATGATGAGACAAGACTTGGTTTTATGCTTATAGGCATGTATTGCCTTGGAAACTTCAATCTTCAAACCAAAGGGATTACCTTTCAGAATGCTGTATTTTCCTTGCCTTACCCTGTTTGAGTTGTTTGTGTCAGCTAAGTATTTGGGACTCAATTGCAATTCACCTTGAATTACTACAATCAATTTCTATTGCAAAGTAAGACTGCCTTACTTTTAAAAGGGGCCATTCAAGGTTTCTATTAAGTAGAAAGATTATGATTGCCTGTCTCTTCTTCCCTCTAAAGAATTGACTAAACTTTAAGCATCTAACATTAAATTTTAAAAAGGTGGCCTTAGCAATCTCTTTATCAAGACTCCATGTAGGAAAAAAAGTTGCCGTCTACAACTATAGGGAAGGAAACTTACGCCTGAAGTCCCTGAAATAAATGGTCTGCCTGTTGGGATTCAGTAGCTGAATCACAGAGTCGTCACTCTTATTGACTTGGCAGCTGATGGTCGCAACCTCTCCCTCGATCACTGTCACGTCTTTCGTAAACAGATTCTGTCCATCACCTTAAAAAAAGGGAAGAAAAGGTCAGAGGAAAATTTCCATCAATTAAAATGTGATCAATGGGATCTACTAAAGTGGGAACTAGGCATATTAGAAAATGAACACAAGCAGCAATATTTAGCATGGCTCTAATACCTTTCTTTGTAGTCTACAAGACGAGTCTATTAATCCAAGACAGACCTAGGGACAAAATACTAAGCCCGGAATCACCATACTCTCAAAAGCTGTGATACAAAACGTTTCAGCCTCTAGTACTTTGTATAGTTGAGTAGTATACTGAGGAGGTATTGGAAAGGTCAGAGTACCGACTTTTGTGAATGCTGAAGCTCTCGCAAATGGAGTAGGGAAAATAGATACAGCCAAATTTAGCTTACCCGCCCTTGAGCTAAGCTATTTGGTCAGCCTCACAGAAACTCAAGGAGCCACTTAATAGAAGTAGGTAGGAGGGTTCAATAAATAATCTCGTCTTGTTAGTTGATGTTGACAGTCCCAATGTATAGGCAGTTCATCGTGCCTGAGTGAGGCCTAACTGACTCTTTGGGATCTCAATAAAATCCTGGGAAGGCTTAGGGTTCGGAGTTTGTTACTCTGTTCTCTGAAACTCACACCTTCATGACTCACCCAAAGCCCCAGGCATCTCTGAACGGACACCCCTATCTGCAGCTCACCCCCCACCCCCTGCCAGCCATTTAGAAAATCTCCCTCAGAACATGTCAAAAAGTCCAGGCTTTCAGATTCACTGATATATAAGGCTTATCTCTAGATCTGCCCTAGTTTGTTGCTTCTGAGATTAGTGACAGCAGCCGGGCCACCTCATAAATGTCCTAAATGATCTACAGCACAGGTAGGAGGAGAAGTGAGTTCAATTCAGAACCAAAGGATGAGGTAATTGTCCAGTGTTCCATGTCGCACCTGGCATAGTAGGAGATACAGAAGTATATGCTGTCCTAGCCTTTAAGAAGCTGCAATGTGGGTGAAAACCGATACCTTATCCCTACTTACAGAACAAAAAGTGTGGCATAGGCATTAGATGTAAAGATCAACTGGGAAGGGGAGAGAAACTGCTTTTTAGCTGTGTGATCTCTGGAAAATTAATTAAAGTCCCTGAGCCAGTTTCTCATCTGAAAAATGGGGATAGTAATTAAAAGCTATCCCACAGGGCTGACAGGGGGATGAAAACGGATAATAAATATAAAGTATTTAGCACTGTGTCTAGTTTCTCATAAAACTGAATAAATGGCAGCTGCTGCTATCATCATCATCATCATCATCATCATTTCTCTAGACATCAAATACAAAGATTTATTAAGCCATTACGTATTGGGAGTGGTGTGGATCCAAGAATAAAGGCTCCTGCTCTCAAGGACCTCCCTATGTAGCTGTTTTAAACCAACTCAGGGCAGATTATTTGCTCCTTTAAAAAAATGTTCCCACATAACGAAACAAAGGTCAAAGATAAATACTCATCTAAAGAAAATCTGAGACAGTATAAATAGAGATGCAATTAGAGTCAATGGAGGGTTTCCACCTGCTATCATATTTCTGTTGAAGGATCCTTTTTTTTTTTCTTTGCTAGGACACACTGGGAAAGTATGAGAGGGGTGGCTAAGATGGCTCTAAGCCAAATCCACCTAGAAATAGACCAGCCCCTGGCAGAGGATTAGAAAAGAGGAAACTAAAAGGATAAGGAAAAAAAATTATTAGAACCACAGATAAACAAAAATTTCTGGTGCTTGAGGAGCAGACCAAAATGAAACCCCACCTCGAGCTCTATGATCCAGGGAATTAACCCGGGTGTGAGAACGCAGGCCCACAGGGCTTGTGGTGAGTGAGAGGGTCAATTCCCCATAGCTTGATTCAGCAGTGGAAGCTTAGCACGCAGAGCAGTGTTACAGAATAACAACAAAGAGAAAAGGTGATCAGAAAAAAAATGAACGGATGTTTTTTTTTTCCTTGGTGGATTACTGTGACAAACACAGAATTCAGAACCCAGCTGGAGAGAGAAAGTTTATTTCCAGATTGGAGAAAAGAACAAGGAGAAGAAAATTTCTACCAATCAAGCAAGCTTTTCAAGGTGGTTTCGCTGGCCCTGACAAAAGCGTGTACAGAAAAGCCACCACTCTCACAGCCTCAGGTAACACGCAATCTACTAAAATTAAGAAAAAATTTAATTGTGTGATTCAAGTGCTGTATCTGTCTTAAGGCATAGGACTTGCTTTGAGCAGAGTAGAATACCAAACGGGGTCTTACTGGGTTATGGGAGGGATTTCTTCTATCAAAGGAAGTATATTAGCAACACAAATAATCTTCAGTTTACAAAAGGTACATGTGGAACAGCCTGGTGACAGACATTAATCCCTTCAATATAAACCAAGGCCTTACAAATCCTGACTACTATCTTGCAGCCACTGGGACTTAAAGCAAGTTGCAATTCAATTATGCTTTAACAGAATAGTTCCTGTGGAAATAACTGTATGCTTTAATTTTAGCTCTTTATTGAAATCCTAAGGCTAGTATATTCTGAGAGTAGCATACTACATTCACATTAAGGCTACAAAACATGTATAAAGGGGATGGGAAAAGAGGCGTATTGTCCATGATTTTGTCTTTTAAGCAATGACAACAATAAATCAGAGTGAGGTTTTGTTTGTTTTCTAGGAAAATTTAAACATTCTTAATTATCACTTATAATTAAGTACTCTAAGGCCAAACCATTTTAACGTGTCACTACTGAGTGAATCATTCAGGTAAAATTTTTCCATCTGCAAACGTTTGCCCTTGCTGTGCTCCGGCACATCCTGCGCTCTGCAAATCTACGGTGGTATCATCATCATGACTGTATTATTTTCTAAAATCGCTGAGGCTAACCTAAAATCCAGTGTCTCAGGAAATGCCAGTTCCTAGCTATGTTAACACGGTTATAATACTAATGCCAAAAAATTATAAGTGATCATGAAATATTTTGCTGAAAGAGATCAAAGGGCCTTGGCTGATGGTGGTGGCCCAAGGATGTCATTCTGTAAAAATCACCAATAAATTATATGGGTCAGCTGGACGGCAGTTATGTTAAACAGAGCTCCACGCTTTAAGGTGCCATAAGATGGCTGCAAAGGAATAATAATGACCTATTTATTTGAGGCAAAGGAAGTGAATGACAGTGATGAAAATACGGTATGTATGTCAGTACTCTTAACTGCCTGAAGCCTTTATGTAAAAATAATTTCTGCTCACATCCTCAAATATTTCTTCCAAACAGAAGGGTGCACTGTGACTTGATAAATTTCCCCTTGAAATAGATATCATGACAATTAGGTTGCTACAAAACACAATTTGATGTGTAGCAGAAGGGTACAAATAGGCAACTTTGGTGCCCTTCTTCAAGAATCCATTTTTAAAACCTTTCTGATTTTCTACAACTCGATTAGCAGATATAATGTCAAGGCAGAAACAGCACATGTTCTGGGCAAAAGAAAACAAATAGGTACAATATAGTGTAGCCATTAAATAAGGCTGTTAACAGGAAGGTAATTTATTTTAAGGGTGGAACAATATCTGGCATGTATAGACATTTTTGACTGCTAATCGGTGTATATGGGTGAGATTTAGAAGACAAAATCAAACTGGATTTTTATTTGTATCAGCAACTATATTCCCTATAACTCCCTGATTTGCCAGACAATTCCTAAAAACAAAACTATGGCACTGGAGAGCCCCATTCGCTTACAAGCAAGCCTCCTGTAGTAAACTACAAGTTGTTAGGGCATTCCTCACAATGAAGAGAAAGCTTATGGTCTAAAGAAAAATAAAATGTATTTTTATGATTAGTAATGACCATGACAGCAGAGTTGTTGGGGTGGGGGTGCAGCGGACACATAAATCCCCTACTAATTCAATCTTCGATTAACCTAATTTACAGATTCCTTTCTAAAACCTCGTTTTGTTATAAACTCCATTTCAGTGACATTACATAAAACACTTGCCTGGATTGGAATCTATTCAGTCAGCAATATGGCCACTGTAGGGAGGTGACAGGGTAAATCTTAAACGAGACATGGGGAAGGGAACAAATGTTTATCCAGGGCTGGGCACTGTGCAGGATGCTTTACATACTTTTCTCTCTCAAACTCCTGGAGTTTTCAGTATCCCTGCTTTAGAGATGAAAAACCTGAGACAGAGAGATTTAAATAAGCTGCCTGATGTCGTTCAGCTAAGTGGCCAAGCTGGTTCTTGAACCGGGTTCTATCAGATTCTCCAGCCCATACAGCTTGCACTTTTTACCAGCCAGCATCAGGCTTTGATGCCAAGGTTCACACTGGCTCTGCCTTGGAAAGTGTACTTGTTTTTAAAGAGGGCTGTTTGCCTATGAGCAACTTCTGATTTTTTTATTTCCATATTTTATCCAGAACACAATTACACACTTTAAGATGAGAGAGAAACTGTTCTGAATGTAAAACACCTTGTTTACTACTGCTTCCTTCTTTCAGTGCTCAGCACTCTGCCCCTAGAGAAAGCCTTTATTACCAGTGCATGGCGGCCTTTTGCCAGCACCACGAGCTCTCGCCCCCGCTGCCTGGCTGTTCATAAATAAAGCACTTCATTTACACCGGGGGAGTCTCTCTAGTCAAGACTATAACAAAAGGGCAAGTCATAGTTAAAACAGAATTGAGTTTATACTATAGCAACTACGTAAACTGTTACTGACATAGAGAAGGAGCACCGGCAACTCTTCAAAGGGAAGACAGTTTGCCCAGAGAAAGAGCAAATAAAGTCCCTTGACCTACTCCTTTAGTAGCAAAATCATATTAGGAAAACTAATCATATTAGGAAAACCTTCTGCTCTATGGAAGACTGAACCTAACATTAAATCAGCACAGTCATGTCGTCTAAATAGGAGTCAAACCAAAACTATAGATTGTTAAAAAAAAAAAAAAATCCTGCTGATGATCAATGTAGTAAGTTATTACTTTAAAAACTCCACTATAGTTCTTGAAATTTTACACAA